ATCGAAGAAAGATTGCAAGAAAGCTCAATTAACTTCGAGCGCCAAACTAAACTAAGATCAGATAAAAATTCTTGGGAAGAAAATATTGTTTTCGGAAACGTTAAACAAGGGAAAGTAATGAAATCCTCTCAACCCTACCTACTTTCCAAAATCTTAGAAAATGAACAAACATCTTAATGTTTTCTGTAGTGGGGAAATTCTGCGGGATGGGACATCTCATCGCCGCCGACTCAATACCGCTGACTCAACACCGGCTACTCATCTCCATGACAACGCAACGCCAGGACAACTCACCACCAACTTACTTGGTGCGACGATAATTCAATGCCGGCCTCGAATTCATAGCTTCAGATTGGTGTTGGCTGTCCTCGTATTCACATCTCTTAGATCGGCTTTGAGTCGTAGAGATTCTGAAAGTTTGGCTGTTTGTTTTAATGATTAATTAGTTACAACAGCCTTTTTCGCTGACTGATGTTTCAGTTTAAGTAATTGGAGGTCATCTGCCTCCCCTAAATTGAAGAAATACCGTAATTCCCTGTGTATAATACGCCTTCATCCATAATACGCACCCCTAAAATTGTGTTGAAAGCGTGGGAAAATGCTTCTATTCATGAATAATCTATCCCCCTTGTTTGGCAATCAATCCCTATAAATTGTAACTCTCCAATTTCATTACGTTCAGCGTTTCCTACTGTTTAAAAATGGTTTTAAACATAGAATAATATTATTCTAATTTAGTTTTATGATAATTCATATTTTACGGCAATTTTTTTAAAGATTTTTTGTAGCTGTGCATAATACGCACCCCGGATTTTGATTACTATTTTTTAGAAATTATACATGGGGTATTACGGTATGTGAAGTCAGATGAAAGAATTTTGCAGATTGTTTCTACTTTTTCACAATAATCTCCAACTGAATATTTGAGGGGAATTGCATAGAATTTTCAATAAATTTTTAAATTAAAAAAAATGTCATGTATTAAAAACATTCCTTAATGGTGGTGGTTGTCCTGGAGCTGAGTTGTTACAGAGATGAGTTGCCCGGTGTTGAGTCGGCGGTGTTGAGCCGATGTTGTTGAGTTTGCAGTGAAGTGTCGTCATGCACCCTAAATATTCAGCACCCCTCTTATGAACGGCTAGAAAGTCTCTTACGTAATGTTGTCATTAGAAGACTATGAGACATTTTCGAAAAACGAAGACTTCTTCGGAAAAAAATGTATTCTCTCACCCAGTGGCCTGTTTCGAACTGATACAACGTTGTACACCAATCGCACCAATAGCTTCCATGTCAAATGTGCAGACGACATTCGGTCTTTTGTTCCAGCAGTTTGGACTTTCACAGTTTAGGAGAGGACACAACTGCTTTAATGGAGTCGAATCGGCCTCATTTTCCAAGCGTAACAATGAAAGAACTGCTACTTTGTGGTCGAGTCTCCTGCGGGGATGAATCTTGACTTCTTTAATTCAAGAGTTGAACGTTATCTCTCCTATTTATTCTCATCATCGTCACTTGCTACCACCTTCTTTTTCAGTCATGTCGGTCGCTAAGTTTTATTTTAATTGGAATCCTCTTGAGATTTGTATTGGTAAAGTTTATTATAAAAAATGTCCGATCATTGCGAAAAGCGCCTTTTCACGTTTTAATGATTTGACCGTTGATATTCTTATGTTTACCAATTCGGGTTAAGGCGATGCCATATTCGCCGAATTGTGATGAAATCTTTTATCATGTCGTTTGCATTCCAATACGGCAAGACTTCCTGTGCTTATGGTCTATTTATTAGCGTTCAACGGATGAAATTGGTTCCATTTCCAACGCCGAGTCCACGGTTTTTCAACCGTTCTGCTATTCATGTAGCAAAAGAAAGAAGAAATCTTATCTACGGGACGCAGGCTAAAGTGTATAGTGCAATCTGTCACCAAAAATGCACGAATTTATCCTTTTAGCAATTGTATGCCTTCAAGGTACGGTGGAATAATGGCTTGCATCTTGGATTGAAGAACTTACGTGCTAATACCCTTGGGAAAGGTATGATTCGTCTTCTTATCCACCCACCAGCTATGGGTAAACAGCAGGACAGACTGGGTTCTATAGCTTTGGATGGCAACTGGTCTACCGCAGAAAGAAATGGCAATCTACAGCGGGGATAAAAATCTGCCTCGTCAGTCATGTATCAAAAGATACATGATTGCCTAAGCGTGTATCACGCATGGCAAATAAGTGACTGATTGACGTGCTAATACCCTTGAGAAAGGTTTGAATCCTTTTCTTCTCCTCCCCCGACTCCAGCAGTTCAGATCGGGTTCTATAGCCTTCGATGGCACCTGGTCTACCGCAGAAAGAAATGGCAACCTACTGCGGGAAATATCTGCCTCGTCAGTCATGTAGCGAAAGATACATCATTGCCCAAGTGTGTATCACGCATGGCACATAACTGACTGACTAAAATGGTATGAATCTTCTTCTTCTCTCCCCAGCTATGGGTAAATAGTTGTTCAACCGTTCTGCTGTTCATATAGCAACAGAAAGAAGGAATTTAAACTACGAGACGCTGGTTAAAGGAGTTTACCTGCACCGTAATGGTTAACCAAAGGTAACGTGAGAATCTAGGCCTACCAGTTAGGTTACAGTCACTGAAAATACATTCATTTTAACTCCACCAGAAAAAGTTCACCGGTATATAGAGCAATCTGTCACCAAAAATGCACGCATCTTAGCCTTTTAGAAATTGTATGCCTTCAAGGTACGGTGGATTATGGTTTGCGGCTGGAATTCCACTCGATGCCATTACATTCACATACGTGACCAGGTTCTATAACTTTGGATGGCAACTATTCTACCGCAGAAAGAAATGGCAACCTACTGCGGGAAAAAAAATCTGCCTCGTCAGTCGTGTATCGAAAGATACATGATCGCCTAAGCGGGTATCACGCATGGCAAATAACTGACTGACTGATGTGCTAATACCCATGGCAAAGACATGAATCCTCTTCCTCTCTCCTCCCCCTGCTATGGGTAAATAGCAGGACTGTCTAGGTTCTATAGCCTTGGATGGCAACTGGTCTATCGCAGAAAGAAATGGCAACCTATTTCGCGAAATAACTATGTCAGTCATGTATCGAAAGATGCATGATCGCCTAAGCGTATATCACTGACTGACGTGCTAATACCCTTGGAAAGGTATGAATTGGGAAAGGTATAAATTGTTCTAGTTCCACGTGCCATGGCTAATCAATTATCTCCGATTAATTCCCCTCTCCAAGGACACATGGCACAGTGGATAAAGCGACAGGACCCAAGAGTGTGTGTTAAATACCTGGTTAAGACTGTGAAAAACAGGAGATAACTGATAATTGACATCCATTAGGCATGGCACGTGGAACTAGAACAGTCTACCCCAGCGAGCGAAATAAAGTGTCCAGTTCGACATTCCAATAACTGAAGAAGGCCAGAGCATACAACGGCTGAAACGTTGTGATAAATATGACAACAAGGATGCGGACAATAGTCCGAATAATGTAAATAGTGTACATAATACCTAATCTCAGAAATATAGACAGATAATGAAAGGCCGAAACGTTGTAATAAATATGGCGACAAAGATGAGGATAATAGTCCGAATAATGTAAATAGTGTACATAATACCTCATCTCAGAAATATAGACAGATAATATCTCATCTCGAAAGACACTGAAACGTTGTAATAAATATGGCGACAAAGATGAGGATAATAGTCCGAATAATGTAAATAGTGTACATCTCAATATCTCATCTCGGAAATATAATACAGATACTGAAATACTGAAAGGCCGAAACGTTGTAATAAATATGGCGATAAAGATGAGGACAATAGTCCGAATAATGTAAATAGTGTACATAATACCTCATCTCAGAAAGGCCGAAATTGTATAAATATGGTGACAAGATGAGGACAATAATCCGAAAATGATAGTGTACGAAACGTTCACAGAAATATAAATATGGTGAATAATAGATGAAGATGACAATAGTCCGAATAATGTAAATAGTGTACATAATACCTCATCTCAGAAATATAGACAGATACTGAAAGGCCGAAACGTTGTAATAAATATGACAAAAGATGAAATAATTTAAAATAGTGTACATAATATGAAATATAGACGATACTGAAAGAAACGTTGTAATAAATATGAGGAAAGATGAGGACAATAGTCCGAATAATGTAAATAGTGTACATAATACCTCATCTCAGAAATATAGACAGATACTGAAAGGCCGAAACGTTGTAATAAATATGGCCACAAATCTGAGAACAATAGTCCGAATAATGTAAATAGTGTACATAATACCTCATCACAGAAATATAGACAGATACTGAAAGGCCGAAACGTTGTAATATATATGGCGACAAAGATGAGAACAATAGTCCGAATAATGTAAACAGTGTACATAATACCTCATCTCAGAAATATAAACAGATACTGAAAGGCCGAAACGTTGTAATAAATATGGTGACAAAGATGAGGACAATAATCCGAATAATGTAAATAGTGTACATAATACCTCATCACAGAAATATAGACAGATACACAAAGAAATATAGACAGATAAAGATGAGGACAATAGAATAATGTAAAATAGCCTCATCTCGAAACGTTGTAATAAATATGGCGACAAAGATGAGAACAATAGTCCGAATAATGTAAATAGTGTACATAATACCTCATCTCATAAATATAGATAGATAATTATTCGAGACAATCATTTTATTTCATTGGTTCGTTTCCTACGACTTATCAGTATGTTTCTGCTTATTTTAAGACAGAAAATATTTTAAGATTTTCTTTTTGAGATAATAATGATTTAGTGATACAATTCTTACTAATTAAGCCATAGCTGGGGAAGAGAAAAGGTGGACATATACCTTTCCGAAGGGTACTTTCGCTGAAATGAATCTAACGAACTGTTCTATAATTGGAAATTCGCACTCCGATTACATCACCCGCACCTCCAAGCTTACAGCACCTGGTATTCGCAAGCGGTCACTCATATAGGTACTGAACAGGCTCAACATTGCTTAACTTCAGTGATCATACAAGAACTGGTGTTTCAATGTGATATGGCCAGAAACCTTTTA